TTACATTTGTGTGTGTGTGTAAAAAAATAATAACAAACGACTAAAGTTTGAGAATGACGAAAGATAAAATAAGAAAGGAGGAGGAGGAGGAGGAGAAGACGTTTTAATAATAATTCAAATAATTATTATTATCATCATTTTATTATTATTATTATTATTATTTTTTCCCGTCGTTTGGACGGGGTAATAAATGGCTGACGTGACGGCCGTAAAAAAAAAAAAAATTTTTTTTTGGTTTTTTTTTTTTTTTTTTATGTTTATAATTTTATTTAACGAGTTTTTTTTTTCGGTTTTAATTTTTTTGTCACTACAATGCCGACAAAAAAAAAAAAAAAAAAAAAAAATTTCGCGATCAAGTCCGATCGCGACGACTATGTGACGACCACCGCCTTATCTAAAAAAATTTCTTTTTTTTTTTTTATGATTTAATGTACTTGTATGGTCGGAGTCGGAGCAGTTAAAAAAAAATTTATTTATTCGGGGGGGGGGGGGGAAATCTCGAAAATATTTTTATTTTTAAAAAAAAAAAACTAAAATTAAAACAAAAATGCCGTGTTTGAATATTTAATAATAATAATAATTCGTGTGGTTTGAAAAAAGTAAATTAAAAATTTAAATGAAAAACATTAAATCAGTTCACACACACGCACATGATATAATGTGAAATTAAAGAAAGAATGGATTGTTAAAAAAAAAAAAAGGTTCTTCCGTTGTTGTTGTTGTTGTTGTTACTGGTCAGAAACGTATAAGAGACCCAACAGGGGGCCAAATGGTGAGACTACTCACTTAGAGGACACAATAATGAACATTTATCATATACAAGTGTGTGTGTGTGTGTGTGTACAAATAATATTTAAAATTTATATAAAACATGTTTCGATTGCACGATAACCGCAGCATATTATTCTTATGTGAGTTTTTTTTTTTTTTTATTCTTTTAAATTACTTGAAATCCTCGTTTAATGAAAAAAATTCAAGTAAATTCACACGGAGAAGGAATTTGATTGTGAGATTTTATATTTAACCGACGGTGACGACGATGGCGATGATGGTGATGGTGATGGCGAGCCTGATGATTATGGTGATGGTCAGGAAGATGGTGGAGTTGGTAATGATGATGGTCAGCATGAAAACGGTCTGGATAGTGATGGTGATGACGATGAAGAGGATGATGGGGAAGGTGATGGCGATGGCGATGGCGAGTATGATTATTATGGTGATGGTGAGGAAGATGGTGATGGAGTTGGTAATGATGATGGTGAGGTTGACAACGGTGAGGATAGTGATGATGGATTTAACGACGGAGAGGATTATGTTGGGTTGGATGATGAGGAAGATGATGGTGATGGCGGTGGCGAGCATGATGATGTTAAGGGTGATGGTGATGGTATAGATGATGGAGTTGGTAGTGATGATGATGACGACTGAGAGGGTGATGTTGGGTAGGATGTGATGATGAGAACGGTAGATAGGATGATGGAAAAGATGATGATGATGGTAATGATGAGGATGACGCAGGTGAGGATACAACGGTGGAAGAGGAAGTGACGGTGACCACGATGGTGATGATGATAGTGATGGGCAAGATGATGGTAGAGTTGGTAATGATGATAGCGAGGATGATGGGGAAGATGATATTAATGATGATGGTGATGGGTAGGATGATGGTAGACTTGGTAATGGTGACAGCGAGCACGATGGGTAGTATGATGGCGAAGATGAGGGTTATGTTGATGATACGAATGCTGGTATTGGTGATGACGATAGTGAAGATGATGTGTGGCGAAAACGATGACGAACGAGTCGTGATTCAACCAACAACAACAATTGACATGAACTTTTTTTTATACTAGAAAGTTATTCAGAAAGACATAGAGAGAGAAAGAGAGAGGGGGGGAGAGTAGATGTGCGTGATGGATTTCATATCCTTGTATGGATTTTTAAATCCTCACAAATCCTTTTTTATAATGAAAACATTTTCAAAAAAAAAAAAAAAAATTTTTTTAAATAGTTTTTAGTATTCACATAAATCTAGACAAATTATTTATGTTTGATCTTATTTTAATCCGTACCTGATTTTTTTTTATTATAAACCTGGTTTCCTTTTTTTTTTTTTTGTTCTCACTGTAAGTGATATTTTCATATCGTTTTATTAATGATTTCCTTTTTTTTTGAAAGGATTAAAAAGAAAAAAATTTTTTTTGCTCGTTTTTACGATTTAAATAATAATAATAATAAATTATAAAAATAAATTTTTTTTATTAAATGACAAAAAAAAAAAAACGATCGATCGATTCGAAAACGATACCTTTTTTTTTTTTTTTTTGTAATAATTATTATTCGGATAAAAACCAACCGAACAAACAAACAAACAAACATAACACGAAAAAATTCAAACGTTTACATAATTTACAACGGACAGACAAACATCCGTTAAATCGTAAAAAAAAAAAAAAAAAAGGGGGGGGAAAAAAAACAAACAAACAAACGAGAAAAAACTATCGAAATAATAATAATAATAATAATAATAAAACATAATCGTTACGGTAAAAAAAAAAAAAAAAACAGAACATAACACAACATAACATAACGTGTAAAAACAGAAAGAGAGAGAGAGATAGAAAAAAAAATGTCTACCCATTTTTCCATCTTTTTTTTTTTTTTTATTGAAATCATGTTTAACCGAATTTTATAGACTTGTAACAGTTGTTAAACGAGTTAATTTAAACATTTTATTACGTTACAAACTACCTGACTGAACAAAAATCAAAAAAAAAAAAAAAAAAAGAAATTTCCCGTTCGGAAAATACTTCATTTCCGGTCGTTCGATTTTTAGTATAAATTTTCTCTCTTGTAATTAATATTTCGGGAATATTATTGCGGCTTTGAAATCGATTTTGTATCGATCGATACAAATGACTTTTCCATTACAAGAACAAACCGGATATTGTTTGAAAAATGGCGGGAAATACTTTAAACACAGGTGGTTTAAAACTACCACTACCTAACGGTTGGAAAAAACCGGAAATGATGAAACAGTAAATCGTACATACGAACAATTCAAAATTATAAAATAATGATAATAAATAAGAGAAAGAGAGAGAGAGAGAGAAAATAGTCTTTCTAACGGTTTTTTTTAAAGCAGAAGAAAACAATAAATATTTATTCGAGTGTGACAAGAGAACAAGACAAAAAAGAGTTTATTATTATAAAAAAAAAAAAAAAATTTTTTCAATAAATTATTTTAAAAATGTCAATCAATCATTATTAAATCTCTCGTGCCACGTTTTAGGTACGACAATCAACAACGACAACAACAACCGAATCTCTTATTTAATTGGGGGTTTTATAAAATCACGACCCGGAAAATCCTTTTTTTAAGTCTTTACATATAAATATTTTTATTTTTATTTTGTTTTTTTTTTTTTTGACGGTCGCCATTTTGTTTTTTTTGTCACAACGATTACAAAAGTTAAGAAAAGCCTTTTATAGCGTAGAAAATTCACGTGAACGAGAGTCCTTTGAATTAAATTTTTTTCCTTTTTTGTTTCTTCTTCTTTTTTTTTATTTTCGTACCCTAAAAAAAGAAAAAGAGAGAGGGGGGGAGAGAGAGAGAGGGAGAGAGAGAAAATAACTCTATATAATTTTATAGCGATGACTTTTTTCCGAGAAAAATTAAAACTGTCAATAAAAATTTATTACGATCAGAGCGGAATAAAAATAAAAAAAATATATACACACTTAAAAATCATTATTATTATTATTAATCATCATCGTTATCGTTATCATTATTATTATTATTTTTTTATTATCGAATTAAATAAAATAACGACGACACATTAACTATAAAATTATAAATAATATATATGTATATAACAACATTCGTATATTTTTTTTTATTCTCTATAAAAATCAATAATAAAATATATAAAAAATTACTTACCGTAGGATTTATACCATTAACATCATCATCATCATCATTATCATCATTATTATTATTATTATTATTATTATTATTATTATTATTACTTAAAAAAAAAAAACATAAAAACGGGTTGTTCAAAAAAAATTAAACTTTAAATAAATATATATATATATGTATATATATATGTATATACTATTTCAAAATTTAAATGACAGACAGTAAAAAAAAAAAAAAATCTGATTGACGTGGAAGTAGAAAAAATTTTAACAAAAGAAGTAAAAAGAAACCGCCGTGATAAATTTTTAAAAAAACCCTTCGGTTAACTTTAACGGCCACCTTAAAAAAAAAAAAGAAAAGAAATTTCGAGTGTTCTGTAAACATAAAAATTCTTTTTTTTCCCGTAATTTCCCTCCCCACCCTCCTCCTCCACTCCCTCCTTCCTCTTCCGAAAAGAAAAGAAAATTAATAATTACGATTAATTTATATATATGCAGTATCGGATTAAGGATAATTAATTATTTATAAATGAATCATAAATCGTTTCCTCTTTACTTACTTCTTACTTACTTTTTTTTATTATTATTATTATTTGGTTTTTTTCCCCCTCCCCTTCTCTCCGTTGAATATGTCTTTTAAAAAAATAATTGTTTCATGCGTCTTCTGCTTGAAAAAAAAATGGCGGACGATTTTTGTAAATTTAAATTAGTGCGAATTTAAAAAAAAAACCGTTAAATTTGAAAAGAAGTTTTATTATTATTATTATTATTATTATTATTATTATTATTATTATAGTTTTTTTTTCTCCAAAAAATTTATTCCAGGTTTTTATATCATTATCCCGTAGGATGGGAATAAATATTAGAATGTGAACGAATAGGGATTTTGTATTTTTATAATAATATTAATATTACCACATGAATCCTTGTAAGTTTTTCCATTTTATTACCGATTTCGGCTCCAGTGACGTCAACATCTGTGACGTAGTGACAAGGGGCGGGGGGAGGGGGGGTCGACGGAAAAACTAAAAAATTTTCATGGCTCCGCCTTTGTCAGGGTTTGAATTAGTAAAGCCGCGTCATGTTCGTCTCCAGAATCCCAATTTTAATCCCGCCCAATGCTCCTTAACTTTAGTAATTTCCAAAAGTTGTCTAGACTTTTCCGGACTTCCTAATAATTTTCTCCATACTTCTCCAGTAATTCTCCAAAATTCTCCAGATTTCTCCAGTAGTTCTCCAGAATTCTCCAGACTTCTCCAGTTTTCTCCAGGCCTCTACAGTAGTTATCTAGACGTATAGAGCAGTTCCAGTTTTCTCCAGAATTCTCCAGACTTCTCCAGTAGTTCTCCAGTCTTTTCCAGACGTCTCCAGTAGTTCTCCAAACTTCAATTTTTCCTCTAAAGTTGTGTAACATATTCATAGTTATTATTATTATTATTTTCACTTTTTTAAACAGGATAAGGTTCTAAATGTTTCTGTCTGAGTTGTTTTCAATTCCAGGTTTCTACCCGATTCGTCAGACACTAACGCTCGGTTACGGTGGTGCTATTCCAGACGATGTGACATACATGTCTTCCAGTGCCTCCCACTATGACTGGAATAGTTTCCGTCTTTACTCCCCACACCCCGGATCCCATTTCCAAATCCCTGCATTTCATCCCAATCATTTTAATTTTTAAAAGAAAAGGGAAAAATCCGCGAAAAAAAAGTAAATTTTGTTCAGGTACGATCAAAGGTTGTTTGCAAAAAAATTTTATTTTTCCCCCAGGTTTGTTTGTTTGTTTGTTTTGTTCCCACCCCCCGTTTTTCTCGTCAACCATTTTTGGTAATTTACCCGTAATTTCGTAAATATTTTAATAACTACGACATTCGTACGTATATCCAGGTGATTATCGTGATAATGATAATTAATGTAATATTACGTCATCATATAAATATAATCCGCGAACAAAGAGTGATAACGAAACAATCAAACATTGTTTGTATAATATGACGTCATCATCATTCTCACGTTAAAAAAAAAAAATTTTAGCCGAGAGAAAAACATAAAAAGGATCGATATAAACAAGAATTTAAAAAAAAAAACCAAACCGGAAATAGATCGTTTGTCGTGGGTAAAAAACCGGAAGTAGTACTAAAATGCCCGAAAGACATTTAAAAAAAGCACAACAGAGCACTCTTATTAACAAAAACTCGTTTTTGTGTTTAAACATTGTGACGTCATAAACGATTTTTAACCGACAGGAAATTCTCTCTTCCCCTTTCCCCTCCTCCTCCTTCCTTCCTCCCCCTGCGCTTCCTCTCTCTCTTAATTTAATTAAATAATTTTTTTATTACCTTTTAAAAATGTTTTTCATTTTTTTTTTTTTATATATTTCCGTTGATTGTAGTGAGTTTTTCATTTTTTATTGTTTTGTCGTTCATCGCATATAGAAATTACATTTGTATTCGCTTTTATTATATTTAATTAAAAAAAATAAAAAAGAGAGAGAGAAAGAGAGAGGAGAGTAAAAACAATAAAAACGTTTAACGTATGAAAAATTAATTGGATAATAGAAAAAGAAAAAACCGGAAATCGACGGACTCGTTATAAAAAACGCGAACGAGCACGTAAATAAAAAATAAAATGACGTCATTGGTTGGTTCGTAAACTCTTGCTGGAAAATTTTTTTAAATTTGTAAAATGCATCGGTGATGATAATTCAGTCGAACCGCAACGGTAAATTATTGTAATTACGTTCTAAACAATTAGAAAACATGGAAAGGTGGATAAAAAGAGAGAGAGATAGAGAAAAAAGAGTGAATGAAAAAGAGATAGGCAGAAAACTGAATTACAAAAAGAAAGAAAGGCAATGATTCACAAAAAGAGAGAAAGAAAAAGATGAAGAGAAGGATACATAGAAAGACAGAGAGAGAAAAGAAGGAGACTCATAATGATATAAAAAGAGAGAGAGAAAGAAAAAGACAAACACATACAAAGAGAAAGAAAGAGGGAAACAATGAAGGATACATAGAAAAAGTGAGAGAAAAAGAGTGAAAAAGTCATAAAGACACAGAGGGAGAGAAAGAGAAAAGAACACTTACAAAGACAGAGAAAGACAAAAACAGAGAGAGAAGGAAACAACACAAAAGCAAAAAGAGAGGGAGAGAGAGAGAAAGACACATAGAAATCAGAGAGAGAGAGAGAAAGAGAGAGAAGGATACATTAGAAAACAGACAGAATAGAGGAGGACACACATAAAAAGACAAAGAGAGAGACAGAGAGAAAGAGAGAGAGGAGGGTGGGGAGAATATCATTAAATTTATTTTCCTTTTCACAAACTCTCCATCAAATTAATTAAAACGTTAAAAAAAAATGATTAAACGGTTTCCTCCCATTTTTCTTCCTTCCGCCCCACCTTTAATAAAATAATCTTTAATCGGTTTTAGTTTCATTCTAATATAAACTAATTAATGTATAACTAAAAACCTCAATTAATAATTTTTTTTTTTTTTTTTTTAATTTAAATAACCACTACCGGTTGTTAATTAGCAGTGGTAGTAGTAGTAGTGGTAGTGGCATTAGTGATGATACCACCGTGACTTGATTTTCTCATTATTATTATTATTAATTTTCACATCGCACGTTTTATTAATAAATAAAATTTAATTTACTCATTATTTTTTCTATTAATTAATTAATTACGTTATAGACTCTTTAGTTATAATAATAATAATAATAATTTTTTTCCCCCCGTTAAAAATTTACGCGAACCAATTAAATTTCCCTCCTCCTCCCACTTTTTTCCTTCTTCTTCTTTATTGCACCTCATTTATTAATGCCCTCGACTCATACATTTTTATAGCGCTATAAAAAAAAATTTTACGGAATTCTCTCTCTATTCCTCCCCCCTCCCCGATTTTTTTCAGGTAGAAACGTGCGGTTTTAGGCGGGAGAGGGAGGAGAGCGTTGGAAAAGGGCGTAGATCATAATTATTACAGTTAAATATCACGTGATCGAGTTAAATAAAATAATAATGATTATATAAACATCCGAAAAAATTCGTCGTCGTCCTCGTCGTCGGTTTTTACAACGTCGTGGAAGCAGAAAAAAATTTTTTTTTTTTTTTATGTTCACCTCTCGGTAAAATTCCGTTTGCGGTCAAACCACTTTACATCTTGCGCACTCGCACGCACACGCACACGCACATTTTTTTTTTTTTTAATTTTAAATATGGACGACGTCACTTTTTTTAAATACATTTTTCGCGATAATAATGATAATAATGACGTTTTTATTACTTGAGAAGAAGAAGAAGAGGAAGAAAAAGAAAAAAAAAACAATTACGATTTTTTTTTTTTTTAATTTAATTTTTTCCCTTTCGTAAATTCAATCGATCGCAAACCGGAAACGATTCCGTGGAGGAGAAGAGAGGAGAGGGAGGGAAGGGGAAGTAAGCAGACAAACGTCGACATCCGGTTCTCGATTACGAATTCGAAAGAAAAAGAAAAAAAGGTTAAAAATCCATAAATCAATTTTATTCGTTATTAATTAACAAATGAATTATATTATTTATTATTATTTCTATCTATCTATTTCCACGTCGAATCGTACGCGTGCGTACGTCACCGCTTTAAAACCCTATATAATAACAAAACAAAGAAAGAAAAAAAAATGGTTTTTCTTTTTTTCTTTTTTTTCTTTTTGGGAGAAAAAAAAAAAGTAAGAAAGGAAATGATTTATAACCCATTGATAAATTTTCATTATTATTATTATTATTAAATAATATTAAGCCTACGCGAAAAGTGGGTAGAAAAACCTTTTGATAATTGAAGGTCACATTTATCATTAAATAAAACCTGAAAAGGTCACAACGATCTCAGCATTTACATATCGATTGTGAATATTTGAAAGAAAAAATGAAAAAAGTTTAATTAATGTGATGACCGCCGCCATTACCGCCACCCCCACCACCACCGCCGCCATTACGTTCGGTGTGAAAAAGGTACGCGCGTTCGAACGTGCGTGCATGCATGCGTGCGTACCTATAAATTATAAAAAAAAAAAAAAAAAAAAAAATTAACTACAATGTCGATTTGATACTAATAAAGATAATCGTGTGTATCAGTCGTAGTTTGTTGTTGTTGTTGGTTGTTTTAAAAACGTTTGTTGTTAATTTTTTTTTAAAAGGAATAATTTTTATGGCTACCGTTAAATCACTAAACACACACACACGTAGGTAGTTTGTTGTTCACGTCATTTGTTTTTTTTTTTTTAAACGTGGTATTTAAGATGATATATTAATGATTGCCTTTTTTTTTTTTCGTAAATGCGCGTGGGACAAGACAAAACGAAACGGATTCAAAAAATCCCCCCCCCCAATTTTTTTTCCTATTAAATTTTATTTCGACGAACGATTGGTTGTCCGGTTGTTGTTAATACCGATTCCCAAAAAAAAATTTTGAATGAATTTAAAAAAAAAATAATTTTATGACGTGAATTCATCATTAAATATACCCTCGAGGTGTTTTCTTTTAATTATTATTATTATTATTATTATTATTAATAAATTTTTTATTTTATTTTAAATTATTAATTAACGATTTTATTTTTCTCTTTTTAATTCGCCATTGCATCCGTCGATCGAATTTCAAGCCGTTCGAGAAAAAAAAAAAATTTATTGCTGTCAAATATATATAAAAACGGTTAATCCAAATTTAATTAATCGATTATAACGTGAAGACGATGACGTCACATAAAAAAAATGTCCGCGCGCGCGAAAAAATTTCCCTGCAACTTTTTTCCCTGCCTCTTTTTTTTCCCTCCTTCCCTTCGATCGTTTTCTTATGTTGTTTACATTCGATTTGTTTTTACGGTTGGAAATGCTATTCGAACTTACCGCCCTTCACTTCCTCCTCCTCCTTCCGTTTCCTTTTCATCTACGTCATCATTTATTATTATTATTATTATTAACAGAGATAATATTAATGGGAGATTAATTCGTTTGACAAATAAATATAAATAATTTAATTAATGATACGATTATTCATATTTAAATAAAAAAAATTTTTTTCTTTTCCCCGCCATAAGTTATAAAAAAAAAGATTAACCGTTGAGAGTAGGCGGGAAAATTTAAATTTTTTTTTCGTTTCGTGATTTTTATAAGAAGGCTGTGGATCGTGTGACACGTTAAATAAATTATATCAAGGAAATTTGTCTTACTTAAAATAAACATTCTCGCTTGTTTAAGTAGTAGTAAGAATTTCGTTTTTTTTTTTTTTTTTTAAACGTTTTGTTTGTTTGTTTGTTGTTTGTTTTGTATTGTTTTTCCAAAAAAATTTTTTTTTGTACGTTTAAGCGTCATCAAACCCTTCAATTTATTAATATTAATTAATAAATTAAAGAAGAGAAAAAAAATTTTTTTTTTTTTTACTTACTAAACAATTAATTAAACGTGGCATTAGAAAAAAAAGAAATCATTTGTCTTTATAAATGTATTGCGTTCATTAACAACAAAACCATTAATTTATTATTTAAACAATTTGATGAGTTAATAATAGATAAAAAAAAAGGAAGGAAGAGTCGGCAAGTTTTATACACGATTCGAAACAACATCACCTGGAATTTAGGTTACATATTAATTATATATAAAAAAAAAATTATTTTGGGTTGTTGTTGTTGTTGTTT